ATGTCAAAGAGTTCCACAGGAAGAATTAATTGGGAACCCTGCTCTAGACTATCTTCTTGTAATTCACATGTCTTATCAATAAATCAGGCTACCTCCCATTACCACACATGTACATCAAAGGTAAAACATGAAATATCACTGCTGGTTTGTGTCCCTTGGCAGCTGCAGTCAGAGTCTGGAATAATCATGCCTGGAGGTATAGATTGTTTTACTGTGCCTCATTTTTCCCTCTATTGGTCAGTTATTATTATCATTTAGCCTAAGGCACACCTGTGCAATAATCATGCTGTCTAATCAGCATCTTGATATGCCACACCTCTGATGTGTATGGATTATCTCGGCAAAGGAGAAGTGCTCTCTAACACAGATTTACACAGATTTGTAAACAATATTTGAGAGAAATAGGCCTTTTGTGTACATAGAAAAAAGTCTTAGATATTTGAGTTCAACTTATAAAAAAATGGGGGCAAAATAATGTATGTATAATGTATAAATCGCCAACAAATTCCAAAGTGCTGTACAATAGGTGGACTAACAGACAAGAATTTGTAAAAAGTTGGAAAAGAGGGTGTTGAGGGCCCTGTTCAAACATGCTTACATTCTAGAGTGAGTGGGATGCAGTGGCACAAGAGGTAAGAGTAGGATGTATGTCATGTATGGGAAAAAGTCAGTTACTAGAATAGTCAGCCTTAGAAGGATGTAGAAAGAAAAGGGAAACATTTTTTTTCAAGTTTTGTCCCATTTGTCCCTAAACTCAGTGCTGCTAAAGTGGAATTTATCTTAACGTAGCAATGTTGTTTACTGCCTATTAGGTTAGTGCAAGCAAAAACAACACATTCCCTATCTTTTCACTCATAAATGTAAAAACAAACTTGCTCGTATTTTAATATATACATTATTGTCTTCACAAAAACATATGTTATTACTTTTATTTACTCCTTATATTTCGAGTGAGCAAGTCTGATAAAAGCTGTGTGGTTGGCTCTTTTGGGTCTCATTTCCTGTGAGACACATCTATAGATATGAAAAACTAATGTATTCATCCACAAAGTTATAACATGAGATAGTTAAGAATCTGACTTTTTGGAAGTGAGCTTAACCCCTTAAGGACACATGACATGTGTGACATGTCATGATTCCCTTTTATTCCAGAAGTTTGGTCCTTAAGGGGTTAAGTTACTATGTAACCTTAGTGTCAAAGACACCTAGAGCAAATGATTTACTCTGCCCAAGTGAGTTCAAGACAGGTATATTTTTATAAAAAATACATACATAAATAAATAACTGACATCATACACAAAATACAAAGAGTGCATATGCACCACTTTATTGCACACCACATTGGTTAGAATCAGGCCCTATATATGGTGGGATGAGAATAGCATACAAAGAGGAGACCCACTGTATTTGTTTATCTTCTGAGTAGTAATATTGGTAAATACTATTACATAGTCTCCCAAAACCTCTCACCATTTATATGCCCACTCTGCCCTTTAATGCCTATAGATGTCCTAAGTAAGCAGTGCATAAACACACCCATGGCCTTCCCAAGAAACAATGTGAACATTGTCCTTAGTGTAAATAAAATAATATAAGGATGGACAAATCTAGAGGCCTGGGGTTGTGGACCCGTAATTCGCTGACAAGAATTACATCTCTTTTAGGGAGGAGCAAGTAAAACCTTCAGGACAAACTCAATATATTATACTTACACTTTCAATAATTGTATGACAGGGTAAGAGAGACTAAGCCATCCATGTTTTGTAGGGAAGGGATAGACTGACAAATATTATATTAAAAGGAAACTATAGTGCCAGGAATGCAAACTTGTTTTCCTGGAACTATAGATTCCCCTTCTGTCAAGGCACCCTCCCACGACGCTGAAAGGGTTAATAACCCCTTCAGTTGCTTACCTGGGTGTCCCTCGGCGCTGGCTCAGCTATGCCCACGCTCCTCCCCCGCCACCGGCTGATGGCAGGGGAGAATTAATGCGCAAGAATTTTTCAATGCTTTCCTTTCGGGATCCGGTGATGCTCGATGTCTTCATGCAGAACGTGGGGACATTGAACATAATGTAAAACACTTTTCGTGCTCTAAGAACACGGAAGCACCATCTAGCGGCTGTCTGAGAGACAGCAACTAGAGGTTGGATTAACCCTGTAATCAAAACACTGCGGTTTCTCCAAAACTGCAGTGTTTTGACTAACAGGGCTAAGGGGAGAGGGGCAGGCCACTCCAATGGGCAGAAGTTGTCTGTGTGCCTACAGTGTCCCGTTAATCAGCACCCTTCCAAGTGAATACAGTACATATTATTTTAATTTAACATTGTTATTTACCATATTTAAAATTAATTCAAAGTGAATTTAAAATTTCAGGTCAAATTAACAAAGCTGAGTTGACAGATTTGGCTCTTGTGGCCTTAAATTTGAAAGTTGCTTTAAATTCACTTGTGCAGCCAGCTCATTATCTCAACAGTGACCATGAGTTGGGAGGGGGACCTTCCAGCTGCTGCCAGCCTCCCCCCAACACTGATGTGTCGTAGAAGTTGGCTCCATTTGGCAGGGTAAAAGAAAGCACACCAGGCCACCTTCCAGTCACTCAGGCCAGCCCACTAAGGGCAGACCATGCAGGGAGGACTGTTTTAACGCTCTCTGTGCAATCCTAGTGCCCCAAGTGTAGTGTATCTTTTTGCATTTAACAAATGAAAGAGAAAAAGGGCAATTTTAATGTTTGACATTGTATGACAATTATCCATGCCCCATTACCTGGATGTGATTAGAACATTTTTGTTTTAATTATTGGCAAGCAAATTGAAATTATATTTCTAGCTTTTGCTGATAACTACATAAATGGATAGAAAGTAGACTCACTATAACTTTTTGTGTGTACAGATTGCATTCAGTGTGTTTATGATGAACAAGCATATTAAAATACAAACATATTAATGGTTATTTGTTATGCATGGAAGGGAATCAAATTCCAATGTTCTCAACTCTTCTGCAAACAGAGCTGTATTTATATTGTAAACACTAATTTCTGAATGTTGTCAACAGTAATCAAATCCTTTCAAGCATTCAGGAAAGATCATGCCCTATATCCACAACAAGGGTCTCTTCAGGAAGAGCCAGACTAGCAAGAGCATTAATTAACTCTGCAGTACTGAAAGCACAACTTATAGAAACATAGAAACATAGAATGTGACGGCAGATAAGAACCATTCGGCCCATCTAGTCTGCCCAATTTTCTAAATACTTTTATTAGTCCCTGGCCTTATCTTATAGTTAGGATAGCCTTATGCCTATCCCACGCATCCCACTCCTTTACTGTGTTAACTTCTACCACTTCAGCTGGAAGGCTATTCCATGCATCTCAGTAAAGTAATACTTCCTGATATTATTTTTAAACCTTTGTCCCTCTAATTTAAGACTACCATATATACTCAAGTATAAGTCTAGTTTTTCAGCACATTATTTGTGCTGAAAACCCCCCACTCGACTTATACTCGAGTCAGTGTCTGTATTATGGCAACTTACATTGCCATAATACAGACCAGGACCGCCGGGCTCATTACAAGCCCGGCAGTCCTGTTGGGGGCTGGCAGAGAGCTGTTACTTACCTTTCCTGCAGCTCCTGTCAGCTCCCTTCTCCTGTGCTCCGGTCAGATCCCTTCTCCTGCGCTCCAGTCAGCTCCCTTCTCCTGCGCTCCAGTCAGCTCCCTTCTCCTGTGCACAGGTCAGCTCCCTTCTCCTCCACTGTAAGTCTCGCGGTGTGACTGCCGCGCGGAGCGTGGCAACGGTCTGACCCCGCGGCTCTCGCGAGACTTAGAGTGGAACTGACCAGACCGGAGGAGAAGGGAGCTGACTGGAGCTGCAGGAAAGGTAAGTAACAGCTCTCTGCCAGCCCCTCTCCTACACAGCCCATCCACTGGACCACCAGGGAATGAGAGCCCCCCTCTCTGGCCAGCTAACAAGCAGGGAGGGGGGATGGAAATAAAAATGAAATAATAATTAAAAAAAATATTACAATAAAAAAATGTAAAAATTAAAATTAAAAAAGTAAATAATAAAATAAAATAAAAATACTAAAATAAAAAAATTAAAATATTAAAATTAAAAAGAATAAAAATGCCCTCCCCCACCCAGTTCACACACAAATACACACTCATACAAACACACACTCTGCATTGTATACACACACACTGCATTATATACACACTCATACAAACACACACTCTGCATTATACACACACACTAATACAAACACACACTCTGCATTATATACACACACACTCTGCATTCACACAAACACACACACTCTGCATTACATAATGCAGAGTGTGTGTTTGTATGAGTGTGTGCATATATAATGCAGAGTGTGTGTTTGTATGAGTGTGTGTATAATGCAGATTGTTTGTATGAGTGTGTGTGTATAATGCAGAGTGTGTGTTTGAGTGTGTGTGTATATAATGCAGATTGCTTGTATGAGTATGTGTGTATAATGCAGAGTGTGTGTATGAGTGTGTGTGTGTATAATGCAGAGTGTGTATGAGTGTGTGTGTGTGTGTGTGTATAATGCAGAGTGTGTGTTTGTATGAGTGTGTGTATATAATGCAGTGTGTGTTTGTATGAGTGTGTGTGTATATAATTATAAAAATCACAGAACTTCATAGCCCCAAGTTTTACCCTCGACTTATCCACGAGGCATAGCATATTTCACAATTGTTGGTCACAAAACTGCACTCGACTTATACATGAGATCGACTTATACACGAGTATATACGGTATGTCCTCTTTTTGTGGTAGTTTTTCCTCTTTTAAATATAGTCTCCTCCTTTACTGTGTTGATTCCCTTTATGTATTTAAATGTTTCTATCATATCCCCCCTGTCTCGTCTTTCCTCCAAGCTATACATATTAAGATCCTTTAACCTTTCCTGGTAAGTTTTATCCTGCAATCCATTAACCAGTTTAGTAGCCCTTCTCTGAACTCTCTCTAAGGTATCAATATCCTTCTGAAGATACGGTCTCCAGTACTGTGTACAATACTCCAAGTGAGGTCTCACCAGTGTTCTGTACAATGGCATGAGCACTTCCCTCTTTCTACTGCTAATACCTCTCCTATACAACCAAGCATTCTGCTAGTATTTCCTGCTGCTCTATTACATTGTCTGCCTACCTTTAAGTCATCAGAAATAATCACCCCTAAATCCCTTTCCTCAGATGTGGAGGTTAGGACTCTATCAAATATTCTGTACTCTGCCCTTGGGTTTTTACGTCCAAGATGCATTATCTTGCACTTATCCACATTAAATGTCAGTTGCCACAATTCTGACCATTTTCTAGTTTACCTAAATCATTTGTCATTTGGCTTATCCCTCCCGGAACATCAACCCTGTTACATATCTTAGTATCATCAGCAAAAAGACATACCTTACCATCAAGACCTTCTGCAATATCACTAATAAAAATATTAAAGAGAATGGGTCCAAGTACAGATCCCTGAGGTACCCCAGTGGTGACAAGTCCAAGCTTCGAATATATTCCATTGACTACAACACTCTGTTGCCTGTCACTCAGCCACTGCCTTACCCATTCAACAATATTGGAATCCAAACTTAAAGATTGCAGTTTATTGATAAGCCTTCTATGTGCAAATTTCCAAATATAGCATTGGAAAAAGTATATTTTAAAGTGGCACTGTCTCTGTATATTTCCAATGCCTGACACTTCTAGACAGACACTGGGTGCTGCTACGGCCATCTAGAAGTGTCAATCACCAGTGATGGCTGCAGAGAATTGGCTTTATGAGATCCTCCCTAGACCTTAATGCTGTACTCTCACACATGAGAGTACAGCAATGACATAGGCAGCACCAGGAGCTGAAGAGGAACCGTTGAAGGAAGATGGCCTCGGGCACAAGGGACAGGTTCAGGTAAGTAGAACTCACCATTACCTGCCTGCCTGTCCTCCAAATTCTGCAAAGTCCGCAAATGGTGAGAGTGCTGCTTTAAAAGGGACATTCAAAACCCCCAAAACATACCTCTGCACCCTGTGTACATATACATGTTCTCCAACCAACCATCAGCTTGCATGCTGAGGGTCTATAAACCTCTTTCAGTTTAACTTCTGACCTCTCCACCACTGCTGCCTCCACCACCACCGTTGGTTGTATTCAGCCTCAGGATAGTGTGATTAGAATGACGACTGTTATGTCCAATTTAACACCCAGGAGGAGTTTACTTTTTACTTATCCTTTTAATCCTGCAATAACTTGTGCTGCTGCTCCCAAAAAGCAGTAAGTGTGTGTGTGAGTATGTGTGTGTGTGTGACTATCTACCTGTGACTTTGTGATGCTGCCTTTAACTCTGTGTGTGTGGCTATCTGCGTGTAACTGTGTGTGTGTGTGTGTGTGTGTGTGACTGTCTGCATGTGACTGTGTGTGTGTGTGTGTGACTGTCTGCCTGTGACTGCATATGTCACTGTCTGCCTGCAACTGTGCGTAACTGCCTGTAACTATGTGACTGTGTGTGTGTGTGTGTGTGTGTGTGTGAGACGGTCTGCCTGTAACTGTGTGTGTGTGTTTGTGTGTATGTGTGTGCATGTGTGTTACTGTCTGTCTGTGACTGTATATGTGATTGTTTGCATGGGACTGTATCTGTATGTGTGACTTTCTTCCTGTGATTGTGTGATGCTGCCAGTAACTGTGTGTGTGTGTGTCTGCCTTTTTCTCTCTGTCTGTGATTGTGTGATACTGCCTTTAACTGTGTGTGCATGTGACTATCTGCCTAATACTGTGTGTGTGTGTGTGTGTGTGTGTGTGTGTGACTGTCTGCATGTGACTGTGTGTGTGTGTGTGTGTGACTGTCTACCTGTAACTGTGTGCATGACTGCCTGTGACTGTATGTGTGACTGTCAGCATGTGACTATGTGTATGTGACTGTCTGCCTTTGGTTGTGTGATGCTGCCTGTAACTGTGTGTGTGTGACTGTCGGTCTGTTACTGTGTATGACTGTATGCCTGTAACTGTGTGTGTGGGGATGCAGGGATATTGTAGAAGGGGGCAGTACAGGGGTTTGTATATAGGATTTGTATTGGGGCAGAGGTCCTGTATAAGGGGAGATAAGCAGGGAATTTTGGAAGGGGGGTGCAGGAGTTTTGTAGAAGGGGGCTGTACAGGGGTTTGTAGAAGGTGGGTAGGAAGGGGTTTTGTAGAAGTGGGGCCGGGCAGGACAGAGATTTTGTAGAAGGGGCAGACAGGGGTTTTACAAAGTTTTCAAATTTGTGCCATACATTAAAAAAATAAATAATACAAATTTTGGGAGGGGGGTTGTCAAACACAGGATCCGCCCCGGGTGCCAAATGCTCTAGGTACATCCCTGCTTCAGATGCCCAATGTCTAAATTGAGTAACATACTCCTCTACGTTGTTCTACCCTTGTACCAGTTGTGATGAAACCACCAAGTTATTTGGGAATTTTTAAGATTTATTGGCTCGGTAGCTGTAACTACCGAACACCGACCACCCCCCTGGCTCATTATCTTTAAAGAGAACAGTCAAAGTGACCGCCATTCCTATAGTCAATTGCCACATGCAGGAGAAAATGGCAACCCATCTTATTTGCACAAAAGGAGGCAGCGGGACTTGGTTGTCGAGTGTCTGGAACTAAAATCGGACACTCGACTTCCCAAACTATACGAACGCCTGCTTCCTTTTCCCGAACAGCCAGGAGAGCGGTGTTTGGTTGTTTTGTTCCCACGAACTAGGGGAACAATCACTGCTATGAGCCAGGGGGTAGCATTCATGCATTTGTTTGTTTTTTGAGACTTTTCTAAATAGACTGACCGCACAGGCTAAACTCATGGAACTGTTTCTGGGCAGGAGCCTCGTGTGCGGTCGGTTGAAATTAGACTTCCAAAACCCCTGAACTGATCTGGGTGATTTTGGATATGTTGGTCACCCAGATCAGGGTTATCAGAGGATATAATATTTATGGGGATTTTATGTGTTTTGGGGTACTTTTCAATTTTTGTGAAAAATATGTTTTTTCTGCCTGGAGATAATTGAGTTATTACAGTATCTGACTCAATTATCTCACAGGCAGAAAGGAGGAAATTATCGGTTTGTATTGGGAGTGTCACACTTTGTCATAGTATTATTATTGGTTGTAAACATTTTGTTCCTGTCCCCCACAAGGTCCATGTGGGAGTGCCCCTTGCATAAAAGCCAGTGTAGCACCCATTAAAATCGTTCCTGATGTACCCTTCATCTAGTCTAGGCTTATGTTTGGGTAACTGTCTACTGCTGGGGAGAACAATACTTGGATGCTGCATTCGTCTGGAACCGTTCAAATCTATACCCGAACTGCAAGCTATAATCACTCAGGCTCAGCAGTTTGGAAGGAAATAGACAAACAGGGGATCTACTATACTGGCGTTCGTAACACCAGTGTATTGAGTTTAAAGTCACCAAAACATTTATAGCTTAATGAATCAGTTATGTTATATAGATCATGCCCCTGCAGTCTCACTGCTTGATTCTCTGCCATTTAGGGGTTTCACCACTATGTTTATACAGCCTTTGTCACACCTCCTTGCATGTGACTTGCACAGCCTTCCTAAACACTTCCTGCAAAGAGTCATCTAATGTTTATACTTTCTTTATTTCAAATCCTGTTTAATTTACAATGTCTTATCCCCTGCTCTGTTAGTAGCTTACTAGACCATGCAGGAGCCTCCTGTGTGTGATTACAGTTAAATTTAGAGATAAAAACTTTTAATGTAAGCTATATCTGATTGAAAGTAAAACCATTATTTACCATTAAACTTTTATAATTCAGCAAACAAGGCTACCAAATTATTTAAGAGCAGGTTTCTGCCTTCAAACAGTTGAAATGCCCATTTGGCAGGATCCACCTGTAAGAGAGAAATTACTGTTTTAAAGGACCACTCTAGGCACCCAGACCACTTCAGCTTAATGAAGTGGTCTGGGTGCCTGGTCCTTCTAGGGTTAACCCATTTTTTCATAAACATAGCAGTTTCAGAGAAACTGCTATGTTTATCAATGGGTTAAGCCTTCCTTTCCTCTAGTGGCTGTCTCATTGAGCCACTAGAAGGCGCTTGCGCTTCTCACTGTGATTTTCACAGTGAGAGCACGCAACGTCCATAGGAAAGCATTGAGAATGCTTTCCTATGCGACGGGCTGAATGCGCGCCGCGCAGCCTTGCCGCGCGGCGCATTCAGCCACGGGCGGATCGGAGGAGGAGAGGGAGAGCTCCCTGCCCAGCGCTGGAAAAGGTAAGTTTTACCCCTTTTCCCCTTTCCAGAGCCGGGCGGGAGGGGGACCCTGAGGGTGGGGGCACCCTCAGGGCACTATAGTGCCAGGAAAACAAGTATGTTTTCCTGGCACTATAGTGGTCCTTTAACTTTATGCCATCAGATTTTAGGTGTGTGAAATCTAAAGGCAAAATAGTTTGCATTCATTTTTAAAAGTCTTCAACAATGATCTTCCCCCATTAAACTTATCTGGTAATGAATGACACTTTAGGTTCTTGTACAACAGTAGATGACAATAACAAGTTGTCTGATTGATTTTGTAAATCGTTCTACCTCAGATGCAGATCATGAAGGCTTTTGTGAAATAAATTCCAGTATTTGATTTATAGTATCCAAATAAGATGTAATATGAGAAAGATCCAAAACAGATCAATACAATACAATTATGTAATATTTTAATGTTTCCCCTTAATAAGGACTTATTTTAAACAAAGTTGGATACATTGCAACAATGAAACTTGTAAATGTAACAATTAGCAAGAATGCTTACCAGAATAATGTTGTATATTTTCAACAGGTGGATAGCAGAGGAATGAAGGAAGAACAAAAGATACGAGCAAAAAAGGAAATATACGATAAACTAGCCAGGTCAAAAAACAAGTTCATTCAGAGTTTAATTTACATTTAATACATATTTTTTTGTTTTGGTGTGAGCTCACGTATACATAAATACACAAGAACATTTTTTACATATTTTCTGTGCTCTGAAAGAGAAATGGGAAGAGGAATAGTTCAAAATATCATCAAAATATATTACCACATATGCATCAAGTATGTCCTAAAAATATTGTTTGAAGTGTTGCAATGTTCAAGGGGCGTTACATATCTCAAAGGTCACAACAGCACATTCATAGTGTCCATATTGTGTTCTAAAATCCATCTCCCACTCATTAACCTATCTTATTCTCATAGGATTATATACACCCCTTAAATCCAACTTTGTGACTATTTGGGCATTTTTTTTAGTCTTTCC